TGCAGGACAAAGAGAGGGTGGATTTACAGGGGAATGAGTCTACTTTGTTCCTGCTGAAGTTTGTCGACTTGCTCATTAGTTTTGGCCAAAAAATCTTTTAGTGATGTAACTTTTTAAACTTTTTTTTTTCATGTGTATTTATTTTTGGCTGTGTTGGGTCTTCGTTTCTGTGCGAGGGCTTTCTCCAGTTGTGGCAAGCAGGGGCCACTCTTCATCGCGGTGTGCAGACCTCTCACTATCGCGGCCTCTCATTGTGGAGCACAAGCTCCAGACGCGCAGGCTCAGTAGTTGTGGCTCACGGGCCCATTTGCTCTGCGGCATGTGGGATCTTCCTGGACCAGGGCTCGAACCCGTGTCCCCTGCATTGGCAGGCAGATTCTCAACCACTGCACCACCAGAGAAGCCCTAGTGATGTAACTTTTATTTCAGAATTTAATTTGGAGTCCTCTGCATACTAAGAAAAAATACTATCCATTGGGCCTGAGAACTCTTATTTCCTTTATTTTCAAAGGTGTCTTTCAAATTAACCCTTTTGTTCAAATCAAGTGTCCCCCAGAGTGGCCATTGAAGACCCAAATCATCCTTAGGATAGTTATGCTATTCAGAAACACAGGCACACAGGACTTCCCTGTGTGGTCCAGACAGCCCAGGAAAAAAAACCCAAAAAACAAAACACATAACTCAAAGGACATCAAAAACGGTATGAAAAGGAATGGCGTGATCCACCAAGTATCTCAAACAACAGGGAACTAACAATAAAATGCAGGTGTCAAACTGAGAACGAAAAGCCACGAAACTCAACACAGCAGAGTTTAGACCTACTGCTGACTCACCATGTCTTCACGGACTCAAGTTGACCTTGAGCAGCAAGGCACAAGGGACATCTGTGGGTACTGCAGCTGGTGGAAGGCTGGGGTCTGCGGTGACAGGCAGTGCAGAGAGTATCTCAGTGGGACTTCCACAATAAACATAATAGGTTGTAACATAGCTTCTACAGTGGATATATCCAGTTTATCTTGTTCCTTTTGTCCACTGAACGTTGATTAGTGAGACACAGGCTCAACAGTAGTGTGAGCTGGAGGACTGATGATTCTCAGTGTGGAAGCTCCTTACAACTTCTCTTATTACTATTTTACCTTCTTAATCTGAATTTGTCTTAAAAATTATTTTTTCACTTGCTTTGACACTAGTTGAGGAAATCATACATCTCTCATGCTTAACAGTTAGTAACCTGTCCATCATTTTCAATTTTGAATGAACAACTGCGTATCATACAAAGACCTCGGAGAGGACTTTTACCACATTTAGTGAATATCCACTCTTCAGGAAATTCATCACAAAATTTACATTTGCATTTTCCATTTTTGTATTCAGTATATGCAAAATATAGATAACAGCAAGTTCAGCAAGAATAGAAAATATTGCCTTTTCAATCTCACGTGTGTATCAGTTTGTCACAAGTCCAAACTCATAACTAAATTTTAACAGGTTGAACCGTTGAAAGGTTTGCAAACTTGTGAACTAACAGTGAATTGAACTTGGTATCTGATTCAACAACAAAAAAAGGAAACTTCCTGTTTGCCTGCCTGTAAGGGAGAGTTCTAATTGTCAGGCAGTCACCTCAAAAAAAGCCAGAGCAGGTCTCATATGAGCTTTTGGGAAGTCTGGCATTCAGGAATCGGCAGACTTTCAGAAACAGGCATATTTAAGGATTGAAACCTATCCATAAAGGAGAGCGAATTATCACATGTCATTTCCTGCCAAGATAGCTTGTGGCCTTCTAACCTTCGAAGCCTGGGTACGAAGGGGGCATCCTACTCGAGAGACAAAGGTTTGGGATTCCATGATCCCATCTCCTTGATGGGAACTGATTTATCAAGTAACCTGAAATTGCAGCAACAGTGAATGCACAGAGAGTTGAAATCATCTCTGAAAAATACTTGAAATGAATATTACAGAAAGTTATTAACAGTGATTATGTAGTTACTCAATTAAATTAGGAAAAATAGTTCTAGAGGGCTTCCCTGGTGGTGCAGTGGTTAAGAATCCGCCTGCCAATGCAGGGGACACGGGTTCGAGCCCTGGTCCAGGAAGATCCCACATGCTGCAGAGCAACTAAGCCCGTGCACCACAACTACTGAGCCTGTGCTCTACAGCCCCTGAGCCACAACTACTGAGCCCGTGTGCCATAACTACTGAAGCCTGTGCACCTAGAGCCGGTGCTCTGCAACAAGAGAAGCCACGACAATGAGAAGCCCGCGCAGTGCAATGAAGAGTAACCCCCACTCACTGCAACTAGAGAAAGCCCGCGCACAGCAACGAGACCCAACACAGCCATAAATAAATAAATAAATAAATAAATAAATAACTGAATACATATCAAAATGTGGAGTAAGAAATATGTGTTGGTCACTGGATGGGACACCATCACTGGCTCTATGACTGAAGTCCACGCCTATAGCCCGTGCTCCACAACAAGAAGCCACCACAATGAGAAGCCCGTGCACCACAATGAAGAGTAGCTTGCTGCAACTAGAGAAAACCCACGAGTAGCAATAAAGACCCAGGCAGCCAAAAAAAAATAGTTCTAGAGAAACATATCTGTTACAGGTGAAAGAAAGTTAAAGAAAGTTAAGCTCAGTAGCTACAGTTTATTACAGTGAAAGGATACAGATTAAAAGCAGTAAAGGAAGATGGCGCTATAGGACAGAGTCCAAGTGGGACCACATTGCCAGGTTCCAGTTGGCCCCTCGCTTAAGTCTCACAGCATCAATTTGTGACAGCACACATGGAGTACTGCTAACCAGGGAACCTCACACAAGCCTTGGTGTTGTCCAGGGTTCTTTTGGAGTATCTGTCACACACAGGGACACCTGTGTGGCTGACCTTACTCTCTAGCTTCTCCAAATGTCAAACTGATACAGAGACCTAAGGCCCCCCCCACCATAAATCACAGTATTAGCATAAACTGCCTAGCACAAACCAAGGACCAGGTAAATAAAGACACTTTTATAAGTGAATGTATCAAGAGCTTGGAGATTGTCTCGCAGGAGTTGGGCAAGTAAGTGCCACACATTTCTTTGGAATGAATAGACTGGACAACTCAGGCCTGTGATGTCATCCTTTACACAGGTCAAGTGAAAATACTCAAAACTTGTCCCTTCGGAATTCTTTTACATTTTATCCTAATCTATGTTCTCAATGTTATTTATGGGTATCTGTATAATGGAAACAGACTGTAATGGTGTGCTACTTCACATCTTCCCAAGTCCACGCTGGGTGACCTTGAAACCATGCCCCATAGGGTTAACAGAAGCTGGTGAGTAACAGAAATCCTTGAGTTTGTCTTACAGAACCACAGATAATGGAACAGCTTTTCAAAACCCCTTTGCTTGTAAACTGCCTTCACTGATTAAGCTTGTTTTAGCTTTTCTCTCTCTTTAGTTGCATATGCTCCAAGCTTCATATGGCCTAAGTAATATCACAAGACTCCCTAACGACCCCTGTAAATAACACCTCTGATGTATGGGTCACTATAGTAAAGGGAGCCCCAGTTGTTTTTGTTTTTGTTTTTGGCTGTCTTGGGTCTTTGTTTCTGCATGCGGGCTTTCTCTACTTGTGGCGAGCGGGGGCTACTCATCGTTGTGGTGCACCAGCTTCTCATTGCAGTGGCTTCTCATTGCAGAGCACGGGCTCTAGGCGCGTGGGCTTAATTGCTCCACGTCGTGTGGGATCCTCCCGGACCAGGGCTTGAACCCGTGTTCCCTGCATTGGCAGGCAGATTCTTTTTGTGGTACGTGGGCCTTTCACTGTTGTGGCCTCTCCCGTTGCGGAGCACAGGCTCTGGACGCGCAGGCTCAGCGGCCATAGCTCACGGGCCCAGCCTCTCCGTGGCATGTGGGATCTTCCCGGACCGGGGCACGAACCCGTGTCCCCTGCATCGGCAGGCGGACTCTCAACCACTGCGCCACAAGGGAAGCCCGGCAAGCGGATTCTTAACCACTGTGCCACCAGGGAAGTCCCCCCAGTTGTTTTTTTAGGAACTTAAGAGTCAGCTCTTACACACTTTGAGCTAGTTAAGACTGATTGTAACTACCAACCCGTAAAATTTGGCCTGCACAAGTGTTCAGTGAATGACCTTTGGACATCAGATGGCCAAAAACTCCACCCTCAGATCATGCAAAGTGACTATTTCTGAACATGCATCCCATGAAGAAGCATGTAATGCAGATACATCCACACACACCAATCACCTTACCTTTTCTCACACCCTATCACCTTTCCCCACACCTAAGACCACCTTGTGTCTTTATCCCATAAATAACTCAAGGACCCCAACTCCAGGGAGGTGGATCTCAGGCTTGCTCTCCTGTCTCCTCCCTTGGCTGCCCTGTGAATGAATTTTTTCTCTCCCGCAAGCCTTGGTGTCTCAGTGTTTGGCTTGTGCACCTCTGGAAATGCTACCTGGTTTGGTAACAACCTCATGTTCACAGCTTGAAATTGCCACAGTTGGAGTATTTGTACCAGGGAAATTGGCAAACACTACAACCAAGGGTCGATTCATTGTTTTATTACTTGTCTAGACTTAAGAAAGTAACGGGGCTTCCCTGGTGGTGCAGTGGTTGAGAATCTGCATGCCAATGCAGGGGACACTGGTTCAAGCTCTGGTCCGGGAAGATGCCACATGCCACAGAACAACTAAGCCCATGTGCCACAACTACTGAGCCTGTGCTCTAGAGGCCATGAGCTACAACTACTGAAGCCTGCATGCCTAGAACCTGTGCTCCGCAGCGAGAGAAGCCACCGCAATAAGAAGCTTGCGCACCGCAACGAAGAGCAGCCCCCGCTCGCCGCAACTAGAGAAAGCCCGCTCCCACCAACGAAGATTCAACCCAGCCAAAAATCAATTAAAAAAAAAAAAGTAATGGAGAATAAGTTAATGGGGACTGTACACTGGGAATAGCACAAACATTCCACCCAGCAAAGTAACTTCAGAAAACTCAAGTTCTAACACATTTCTTTTATTGTCTTCTTAGTTATTATAAAAAGGGAAATATCAGCCAACATTCACTACCAGTTGGAAAATAACTACTGTGAACATCTAAGATACACAGCTGGCAAATGAGCACATTAAAAATGTTCAACATGATGAACCATTAGGGAAATGTCATCAGACCACAGTAAGATAACTCTACACACTTTTAAAACAGGTTAATATTTAATACATTTAATATAACAACCAAGTACAGGTGAAGGATATAGGGGAACTTGAATGCTCCCATACAATTGATGGGAATGCAAAAGGGTACAGTCATTCACTTTAGAAGATGAAACCATATATTCATATAAAGGATTTTATGTACATTCATAATAAGATTATCTGTGATAGCCAAACCAAAAACAAACCACAAAACCCCATCATTTAACAGATGAATGGATAAACAATCAAAGGGTGGTATATCCAAACAGTGTATTTTTCAGGAATTAAAGCAATAAACTATTATGTAATTCCCTAGTGGTCAAGTGGTTAGGACTCTGTGCTTTCAACGCTCAGGGCCTGGGTTCAGTTCCTGGTCAGGGAACTAAGATCCCACAAGCCTTGCGGCATGGCAAAAAGAAAAAACAACAGAACTATTCACATCAGCAACTTGGATGATTCTCAAGATAATTATGCACCATGAAAGAAAAAGGCAAATACAAAAGTAAACACATTAAGATTCCAATGATATTAAACCTCTAGAAAACATTAACTAATTGAATGTGAAAGAAAGTCAACAGTAGTTGCCTGGGAGCCCATGGAGAGATGTAAAGGTAGATATGGAACTGATGGATGTTTGTTATTATAATGATGGTTGTGATTTTAGACATACTAAAACTTACCAAGCTGTACATTTTAAGTATATTCAGTTGAGTGCCTACCAACGGTATAGCTCGATTAAATTTTAATAAAAATTGGCTTCACATAAAAATCTGAATCTCCTTTTTGGAAAAGTAGAACTCTGGAAACCAACACATTAACTCCATCACCTTTTCTTGTCTCATGGGAGGGACTGTCACAGTAGCAATAAAGACACCTGTCTTTATAACAATGAAAGGTGTTTCTACTTGAGTTATCCAGGACCTCTTCCCGAGTCATAAAAATAACATGCCAGGATTACATGATTTTCCCCTTCCTCATTTTTATTTTCACTGCAGCAACGGCCTTGAGATAAACAATTTGGAGATGCTGTGGGATCCTAAAACCTTTACAGTATTCAGTCTGACACTGACTTGGACCTCAGGAGAAGAGAAACAGCCCTGTACCTCCTAAGGATTTCTGCAAAAACTTTATCCTTTATGGCCATAATCCTGGTACATTTGTGAATGCAACTTTATTTTTTATTTTCCTAAGGACCCCAAATTACAGCAATTTGTCTTTTTATCAGAGTACAGTTGCTTTATTGGATGCAGCTTTAGAAAAGGCTCATCCCTACTTGTTTGCTTGTCTTTCACTTCCTACTAATTCCCTGAGTGTTTCTGTACCAAATATGGTTCCCACCTAATGTCTGTAATCTAACGCTCAGCAACACCAGCCTACCACGTTGTGGACATTATGGCTCATGGCTGTTTTCCAGCTGGACTTAGAGAACTTCTTCTCTTGAACAGTACTGGGGGTATGATGTGACATCTTCTGTGAAAAAGAGAACAACTCGTGCTGCTCCAAAAAACACTGGTGGGGCTTCCCTGGTGGCACAGTGGTTGAGAGCCTGCCTGCTGATGCAGGGGACACGGGTTCGTGCCCCAGTCCGGGAAGATCCCACATGCTGCAGAGCGGCTGGGCCCGTGAGCCATGGCCGCTGAGCCTGCGCGTCCGGAGCCTGTGCTCTGCAATGGGAGAGGCCACAACAGTGAGAGGCCCGCGTATGACACAAAAACAAACAAAAGAAAAAACACTGGTGGTTCTCACAACTCTCCTCATCTAAGGGTGATGTAAGGACCCACCAAAAATTCTGATATCCAGGTCACAACATTATTCCCACAAAGCCCTGCAGGAGGCCTTGGACAGCAATGCAAATTAGACACAAACTGCAATGAAAACTATTCTCTGCCATGATACTATCCCCACTGAGGTATACAAAATTCCCAAACAGGTGACATAGAGCTAGAAAAATCCATCCGGAGTATGACATGAAATAATGCCACTGAAAAAGGTAACCCTCTGTAAGCCACCAGCAGAACCCAGACTGGGTCACCTTGGTCAAAGCTGGTTAAGTCCATGGCCTAGTCAGTTAGACACAATAGAATGGTAACACCCAAGTGCTCAGGCTACTCATGCTTCCCTCCACAGGATGCAAGAGCACAGAGGTCTACCTACCCTGATTACACTGAGGCGACTGCCACTTGGTAGAGGTAAGATGATTTTTACCACAGAAACTAACACTGACGTTAGTCTGGCAAGGGCCCTGCACAGGTTAGAAAGTAGAGTGTAGCTCCTTAAAAGCTTCCTATGAACCTGGTACTCACAGGCAATCTACACACTAGGGCTGTTCAGATGTATGGCATTCAACTTCCAGTTGATGACTCCCTCACAGAGCCTATTCAGTATGATGTATTAACTAAGGAGACAGCTCATTCACTGCTCTCATCTCATTTGAAGGCCTTTCTCCAGTATGAACTTTCTGGTGACGAATGAGGTTAGACCTTCGGCTGAAAGCTTTCCTACATTCGCTGCACTCAAAGCGTCTGTCTGGGCTGTGAAGTTTCTGGTGCTCAGTCAGAGCAGACCTTTGACTGAAGACTTTTCCACATTTGCTACACTCAAGAGGCCTCCCTGTAGTGTGAACTTTTCGGTGTTGAGTAAGTTGGGTGTTTTGGCTAAAGGATTCTCCACATTCAGTGCACTCATATGGTCTTTCTCCACTGTGAATTCTCTGGTGTTGAGTGAGGCCAAAGCTTTGGCTAAAAAGTTTCCCACATTCAATGCATTTATAAGGCCTTGCTCCAGTGTGAACTCTCTGGTGCTTAATGAGAGTAGAGCTTTGGCTAAAAAGTTTCCCACATTCACTGCATTCATATGGCCGTTCACCAGTGTGGATTCTCTGATGTTTAATGAGGCTGGGACTTTGGTTAAAGAATTTCCCACATTCACTGCACTCATAAGGCCTTGTGCCTGTGTGAACTCGCCGGTGTTTAATTAGGTTGGAGTTGGATGTAAAGAATTTTCCACATTCATTGCATTTATAAGGCCGTGATCCAGTGTGAATTCTCTGATGTTCACTGAGGCTGGAGCTTTGGCTAAAGAATTTCCCACATTCACTACACTCATAAGGCCTTTCTCCAGTGTGAATTCGCTGGTGCCGAACAAGTGTGGGTTTGTTGCTAAAAGCTTTCCCACATTCCCTGCACTCATAAGGCCTTTCTCCAGTGTGGACTCTCTGGTGCTGAATAAGTATGTGTTTATAGCTGAAGGTTTTCCCACATTCACTGCATTCATAAGGCCTCTCTCCAGTGTGGACTCTCTGGTGCTGAGCAAGCCTGTACTTGCGGCAGAAGGCTTTACCACATTCACTGCACTTATAGTGCCTTTGTTCATTGTGAAAGGCTTCCACACATTCAGCGTCCTTTTGTGGAGTGACCTGGTGCTGGAGAAGGCTAGAGCTACCAAGGAAATTCTTCCCAGCCTCCTGGCATGTGGAAGACTTCTTGGATGCATGGACTGTGTGGCTGTTCATAAAGGCCTTACCCACATCTCTTCTAAAGAGTTTCTTTCCACTGTGCTGGTGAAATTTCACACCTGACCCACACAGTTTCTGGCCAGGGTTTGTTCCGAGGTCCTCAGCTAAATGCAAACCACCTTCTAAGTCTGGGCTACACCTCTCCCAGGGATAGGCCTCCTGGGTGGACAGGTTTGTCTTTGAAGTATTTATTCGTGGCACTTCTACAAAAACATTCTGCTCAGAAGGTGTCTCCTTGACCTTTGCTCCATGCCAACAACCTGAAAGCACAGACATATGTATGAACTTCATGTAGATTTTGGTAGAAGGAGGCAGCCCCATCACAAATATCAAATATGTGTCTGACATACCGAGGAAATAATCCATGGGACTGTTTTCAGGACAAGGGAGCTGGGGGCAGGTAAAGAAAGTGCAGCTGTGCAGGACTGTGCCTCTCCACGTCACAGAACAGGGAGGACTCGCCAGGCAAAAGGCACAAGGATGGGGTGGAGCACACGGAGGAGCTGGGGTCCACAACTCACTCCTCCAGGAACGGTTTTCACCAGGGCCTTGGTTGCTGGGGACACATGTGTGCTGTATGGAAAGCTGTGTCCAGGCCCAGGAAAATCCGATTGTCACTGAGTAGCTGGTGTTCAAGGACTATTTTGAGGATAGGTGCAGAACTCATGACACGTTAAGTGTAGGCCAATACTGAAAAGCACAGAGGAGTGAGGATGGAGAGGACCAATGCGGAATGGAAGACAGAGAAGTGAGGGATAATCCTGGGTTCGAAGTCAGAGTAGATATGACAGAAGAAGTAAAGTGTCAAGAATGGGTAGGAAAGATAGAAGTGAGGTACACAGTCACTGTCCTTGACACCAAAACTGTGCTGGGCACAGGACATGTTCCTGATATGACTTGACTCCAACCATAATATCACATCCTTCCCCTGATGCCAATCACCAGACCCAGGTTCACTTTGAGCCCCTCATGTTGTGCCTGGAGTCATGTCCACTCTGTCAAGTACCCAGGGTTCTCCTCTCAGCTTCACTTGGACAACATGCGACCTAGAAAATACAAGTCCTAAGGGAAAGACAGGACAGGTGAGTGGTCAGCACTGGCCCACAAGGGCAATCAATTCCAAAACAATCTCAGGAAAGAAAAACAGTATCACATATTGAATCTTTGAGGAGAATATCACAGCAACAGCCAGGTGGACCCCACAAAAAGTGACCATGTCGGGTGCGAGCAATTCCTGGTGCTGTCAGGCCCCAGGAAATGACAGCCAGAAAAGGGCAGAACCTGGAGTACAGAGGTGGCATGGGTCTACAGTCAACTTAGCAGGGAGTGGCTGAGACTAATGAAACCCACTGAACTAATTCCAAGTCATCTGACACAGAAAACCTTCACTGAAAAAACTTCAGAGCACTTGGCATTAGGTCTACTTGTGAAAGGAGATCATATACACACTCAGCCTTAGCACCGACAGCACAGATGACAGGGAAGCAGTAATAGAGATGTGCACACTGTCTAGCTGTGAAAAAACAGACTTGCCTTTGGAAAAAAGGAGAAAGGCAGAGGCCTGCCCAGGATGCTGGGATAGGTGTGAGAGCCTTACCCAATGATGCAACAAGTGCAAAGGTCTCCAGCATGACATCGTGGTACAGGAATCTCTGGGCCTCATCAAGAAGCCTCCATTCCTCCTGGGAAAAGTACACAGCCACGTCCTCAAAGGTCACAGAGCCCTGTGATGACAGGGACAGATGTGTACATAAGCAGCCTCTCTCCCCAGGACCCCATAAGTACCCCTAACCCATACTCACTCTGGGTTCATCATCCTCCCCAGCTCCCTAACTCAGAGGGCACTGGTACCGAATAACTCTTCGTGCTTCCTTGAGCACTAGGTACAACTCTCAGCAGCAACAGGCAGGTGGACAGATAGATGCCATCTAAGCTGTGGACCTGGTATGCAGGGCCCCCTCCCTCTCTTGCGCGACAACAGCCTGAGAGTCCCCAGGATCACGTTACCTAGACACAAACAAACTTGGGCTCATCGTCCTCTCAAACTCCTTGTATGAGGGCCCTGGGGCAACGTGGTCACACACCTTCCCCACATGCATATTACTCACTGGCTAACTCCTCATACATCTGATCCCCATCACCACCACCCGGCCCACAAAATTGGCATGTCTCCTGCCTCCTCACATATCCCCTGCACATGGCACCAGAAAGTGCCTGCCCATGCAACAGGATCCCACCATACCCCATCTCTCCACTGGTGGTTCCCCAGCCCTGTTCTGAAGGCTTCCCCACCAGGCCTTGTTCCTGACTTTAACCTCAGTCAAAACATGTAGATCTAAATACCCCTGGTCTGGTTCCACTTCTGTATTCCTCACTATGTCTCTTCACCAATTAGAACCTTTAAACACCCATTTAAAATCCACACCCACTTGACACACCTAAGGTAAACTCATCTGACACTGTAACAGAAACTCCCCAAGTTCCACCACAAAAGCCTGGTGAGTGCATAGGAAGTCAGCAGCCTGACTTCACTATCACTTCACCTCCATTTCTGCTTTCCCTTTGCATCAATTTCACAGCCACTCTCCCATGAAAACCTGGGCCACCTGCTGGACTTTCACCACCCCCTTCTGTGCCACTGATGATCAGTCCTGTTCCTTGAATGTCTTTGTGACACCCACAGCCCCCCTTTCCTCCCTTGTCCCCTAATGCATCCTGAACCCTCCCCAGCACTCTAGATCTGCATGTTCAGCTGTCCACTTGTCTCCTATACTTGGGAGTCACTGAAACAGCTGAAACTCAACATGGCCAAAACCCAAATCCTAATACTCTCGCTAAAAAGGACTCCTACCACTGACTTCTGCATCTCAGTTTGATGGTACTTCCACACTCCCAGATGCAAAGGGAAAAAACTCTGGAGTCATCTGTGATCCCTCTACCTTAGAAAATCTGGTCAGCCCCTACTTTAAAAGCAAATCCAGAAGCCAAGTGTTTCTCCTACCTCCACATCCACCCACCCTGTCCAGCCACAACCAATGCTTATCTGGATGACTGCAACAGCCTCCTTGATAATCTCCTTGTCTTCCTCTCCCCCAGTCTGTTCTGCACTCTGCACCCAGGGGTAGCCTTTTAAATCCTAAGTAAGATCATTTTTCTCCTCTGTTCCAAATATACCATGGCTGCTATCACTCTCAGAACAGACTTCTGAGAGTACCATTCTAGGTGCAACTTCTCAAAGTACCACTGTAGGCCTGACTCCGGCCCCCTTGCTCTCCATCCTCACCAGACATTAATAGAGACCTAGAAGTCCTAGAACACTCCCATCTCACTCTCATCCCCAAGCATTTGTACATACTAACCCCTGTACCTAAGACAACCTTCACATCTCAGTCCACTGGCTGCCAAAAATGGGTGTCTGTCCATATAACCTCTGGTCTGGACTTAGAAACCTGGGCTTACGGTTTCTCTAGGGTCTTGAGATACCAAGGCCAGGAAGGGTGGCAGCAAAAGAGTTCCAGGACACCTGACACTCACCAGTGCAGTGTCCATAAGTGGTTCTGCTGAGTGTGGAACCTGCGGGAAGAGCAGGGCCATGTAACTTTAATTCCCATCAGCAACATAGACGAAAAAGAAGATTAATGAGTGAACCGTTTAATACTGAAGTCAAAGATAAATGCTCAAGGGAAAAATAAAGCATGTAAAAGAGGGCAGAAAATGTTATAGAGTTGTGCCATAAAGTCACATGGATAACTTGAGAAAAGGCTTCCCAGAAGTGGGACAAAAAGGTGAAAATCCTCTCTGTCAGAGTCATGCCTGGTGTGTTTGAGCAGCACCCACGAGGATGGTGTGACTGGGGCCCAGTGAGCCAGAAGTATAAGGGATCGTGTTGGTGAGGAAGTGGTGTTGGCAGGTCATATAGCACTATTAAAGCCCTGAGCAACAAATATCAAAATTTAGTCTCATTTTATGTACAGGTCTGTTTCTTACACTTCCAGACACTTCCATTTGTTTCCCTTTTTCTATCTGTTTGTCCCTTGCCTATATCATATTTTTCTCTTCCCATAGCTTGTAGCTGGCCCTAACAGGTGGCCAGGAGTTCTTATACTTCCTTTTCAAATTTTACTCTGTTTATATTAAAAATTATTGTTTTATATAAAATTCCAGCTTACATAATCCATAGATTAAATTCTGATTTGAAATTACTATAACATTGTATAGTATAATTTAAGAATATGTACTTTTAATACTTATCCATATTCTTTGGTGTTAAATTTTCCATAAATATTCAGATTATCTGTAATTTCCTACCTGCTTTTCTCTCTGGTGGAAGAGAACAGAACCACCATTTTTCTGACTATGCATTCAAAATGAATCTCTGATAAAGGGGATGTTCCTAGAATCAGTAAAAGTGCTTGGCCTCCAGCAGTTGGGGATAACTGGACCTCATTTTGGACTCTTTAAACTTAAGAGAAAGGAAATAAGATATAGGACCTGGCCTCTATTCCATCCTCATAGACATGGAAATATCTTCTTGAGCTCTTAATATCCTGCTAGGGTTTCGAAGCATTATGACTTTTTATCCTTACAATGATTCTTTTCAGCCCTCTTAAAACAAGTATTTTAACAAAATATTTTAATCATTTTCTCTTACAAGATCACCAGAGGAAAATTATTTAACAGTAAAATAAATATTAGTGGAAGAGCACAATCTCTTAAAACACGAAAACCCTCTGTGTGTGTGCAGACTGTAAAAAAGTAAGTTTATGTAAGGCATAAGTGTGTGTCAAAATATAATTATGAAATAGTTTAAGTATAATTTTCATTCAGAGAACTAAGTTAAAATTAGTAACACAGAGCAAAACAAGATGAGTAAGTGGAAACGTTAATTTAAATACAATAAAAATTTTAACATATAAACTAGACAGATGTGTGCTTTATATACTCCAGAACACATTCCAAGTATGGCTACAGTACTAGTGCTTGTAGATACAGAAAGCAAACCGGAGAAAAAAACAAACAAACAAAACCCAAACAAAAAGCCATAGGCAAAAAAAAGCCTTCAACAGGAAAACGTACAGACATTTTACTCATGTATTCATATCTACAGAATACTACACAAAAAGGAAAATAGATACCCTGCATGAAAAACATGCGTAAGGTCACACCATATTGTGCAAATGAAGAAAAACACATCATAATACTTATATGATTTCATTAATTAAGTTTTAAAACAAGCGACCGGAACTAAACTACAGCCATCGAATATTTTCTACATAGTTGGCAAAACTATCAAGAAAAGCAAGGAAACGCTTACTTTAAACAACAGACAATACTTTAACTTTTGAGGGATGGGTATAATTGTTTTGAAGGACCCCACTGGCGGCTTCTGGGATCGCATTTTTTGACCTCAGCGCTTAACAGATACTAATTTTAGAGCTGCTTCATTCAACTGTATGTATAAGTTCTGTGCAATTTTTCTCCACGCAGGTCATTATTTTAAAATTCGGAAAACCAAGGTTTGGGGGCACGAATGAATATAAACATAGGACACGCGTAAGAAAAAATTGGTAAGGTCAGAAACAGTGCAGAATGAGAAGAGTTGGGGGAGGGCCCTGAGGGCGCAGCATTTACCTGAATCGGACCCATCAGCGCTGCCGCCGCCAAGGGAGTCTGTGTGCGAAGGTGGGGCCTGGGCACTGCAGCCCCCGTCCCGGCCCCGCAACAGAGTCAGGCTGGATGGCGCCCACGCCGAGCCTTAGACCCGCCTCAGAGCTGCCTCAGAGCAGCGGGCACAGCAGCTTCCTGGTTCCTTGATCTCGGGCTGGACCAGCGTCCTCAACCTCACCACCAGTGAACAGATCCATGTTTACAAGATGTCGCCTATCCACGCCGGAAGGCCCGCCCAAACGCCGTCCTCCAGAACGGAAGTGCCTCTTCCCGAGTCTTCATTGGTCCAGTGCCCCTGACGCGCGGCGCAGTGCTTTCAGGGTAATGTAGTTCACAACGCTCCCGTCCCCGGCAAGAGGCGGTGACCCCCAACCTCCAGAGAAATGTTCCGCCTCACCCGGAGGGTTGCTGGGAAGTACAAAGGCTGTGAGCACGGGGCGGGGTTTCACGTTTCTTAAAGGGGACGCACCCAGATTTCCTTGAACTGTAGTCTGTGCTGATCACAGAGAGGTACAGTGACAATAATATTTCAGATGTTCCCCCAACCGGCAAAACCAAATGGGCACATGATACCGGGTTTTCGCTCAGACACAAAGTTCATCCATGCTGAGCTGGAGTCCAATAAACATTGTCTTGTTGATCTTCCAGTACATGTAAGCTGAAGCTTTAGACTCAATTTATGAGCCTCACTGTGTTAGGTCAGTGTCAAGAAAGTAAAGACTTCAGACAGGGCCATGCCGGGCAAGACAGAGGAGGGATGTGGGGCAGCCAGAAGCAGGTGGACCAGGCGCTGTGTCTCTGATTCCATCACAAAAAAACGTAAAGCCTGTGACACTGTCCCATTCAGGGACCGACACATATTTCTTGCTCCACATTTTAATATGTATTCAGTTCTTCTCTAGAAGCTAAGATCTACCTATCTGAAAAGGAAGAGGGACTTACCATATGCAACTTTCTGTCTGGAGAGTGACTCATAGTTTATTTGGAAAGGGAGCATCTGAACCCAGAGATAAAGGATTGGATTACATGATCTCCTTTCCTT